AGGGGGTGGGACCGGGGCAAGCACCAAGGCATGGTGCATTTATTCATTACTCACAAAGGATGACACCTCCCCAGCATGCACCCAGGGGGTGGGGCCAACGCGGCAGGGGCTGGTTCCTCGCTGTTTCCAGACGGCCTTGTGGAGCTAAGACTGAATGTGTTTCAGCATAGATGGCCACCACAAAATTGTACATTGGCTCCCGGCTGTCCTGGACCAGGGCCAAGGCAGAGGGGGCCGTTCCCTCACTGTTTCCAGGATGGCTTCATGGGCCACATGAAACCACTTCGCGGGCCGCATCTGGCCCCCGGGCCTTGTGTTTGACATGTCTGAAGTAGAGTGTCCCGTGGGCAAAATGAAAAATGCTCATGATTCCTTAGGCTTCTGCATTCTGCACCAGTAGTAGTTCTGAATAGTGTTCAAGGGAAGTCCCATGGATGATGCTTTCTGAATCTTCAAAAGCACCACAAGGTTAAAGCTTCTTTTTCACTTCTATTGCTCCAAATAATCCTTCTCAACCCGTATAGATTCCCAAGAACATATCCTGATATATAAAATCTGTTCAGTTTTCTACTGAACTTCACAACTAATAAAAAGATACAAAATTGTTTTTTTTGTTTGTTTGTTTATTTATCTATCCATCCATTCAAATAACTGTAAAATTTCAGGCAAACAAATTCAGAAATCATTTACGTTCAAAGGCAAAGGATGAAACAGACGTTTAGATTCACTTTCAAGTGTTTCAGTACCAGTAATAATAATAATAAAGTTGGAAGGTACCTTGGAGGTCATCGAGTTCAACCCCCTGCTCAGGCAGGAAACCCTACACCATTTCGGACAGATGGCTGTCCAGTCTCTTCTTTAAAACTTCCAGTTACACAAGCTATAAACCCATATGAGATTAGACAGAATTTCACTGTGACGTTTCTGGGTTTGTTTTTTTTTAAGTCTTCACATAAAGTGTTAAATCTGTAGAAAATGTCCGTAGCAAAATGTTAAGCAAGTTCCTCTTTTCTGTACCTGGAATAGAGTTCCTGATGCTGAATAAATTCTGCTTTTTCATCACAACCATGTTAAAGACAGACCAAACTTGGTTCATCAAAGAAATCTTCCTTTCTGGACTTCTTTAGATTCTCCAAGAGACCTGTTACTTCTCACCAGGAATTACAGCAAATCATCACTAGGTATGTCCAAAGCAAAGGTTGATTTTTTATCATGGCAACTATAATATGAAGGGGGGGAAAAACCTCAGAAACTGCTAGGATGAGATTATTTGAACTTGCATCTCTTACAAAAGGCATCCATCCAGATGACCACCCCGAAAACAAAATCAGTTAAATAGCTGGGTGGAAGAGATGTACCATTTCTACATGTACTTCCTCAGCACTATAAGTCCTAGCCAACATATCTATCTGTATTTTCATACCAACCTGCTTGCCATAAAAATACTAATGGCCCCAACTGGGTTGTGTCATCTGTTTGGAGACTGTGTGGAATTTTCTGATGCATCCACTATACCAGGGGTAGGCCACCTTGGCTCTTTTATGACTCGTGGTCTTCAACTCCCAGAACTCCTGAGCCAGCATGGCTCAGCTTGGAAACTCTCCCTTTCCCCTCAGCATGGCTGACTCAGGAATTCTGGGAGTTGAAGTCCATGAGTCATAAAAGAGCCAAGGTTGCCTAACCCTGCACTATACAGTGCTTTAAAGCAGTGGCCCCCAACATTTGGATGCCAGGGACTAGTTCCATGGAGAAAGGTTTTTTGCAAGGACTGGAGGGGGCATGGTTTTGCATGCTGCCTGCATCCCACAGATGGGGCTTCACTTGTTTGTGCAGTCCAGTAGTTGGCATGACGTGGACCACTGCGGTTCCACAGACCAAGGGTTGGGGACCCCTGCTTTAAAGCATTTCCATCCTGTATTCCCTCTGTCAATTATAAGCAAATGGTCAATATTCTTTTACTGAGAGCTCAGGCTTGTTCATATGGTCCCAAAGCCCTTCTTAGATCCTAAACAGCAGTGACCCACAAATATATTCTTGGTTTTCTGAACAGATGTAGTTGTTTGTCAAAAACACCATTTCCTTTCAAATGTGTGTTAGGAAGTTTATGAAGATTTCCTTTCCTAGTCCTCTTTTCCAACTGACTCTTTCTCACCTGTGACCCAGTTCATTTTTGTTCTGGAAAAATCTTCTCTGCATGTAGCTTACGTTATGCAACTGGACTCCCTGTCTATATTTTTTCAGATCACAGAGAGCAGAGTTTTTTGAATAATTGTCTCTTATTCCAGCAAGTGTTCTTGTTTGTCTTTTTTCTAGTCTTTCTTTCCTACATTCGTTCCTTTCAAAAAATCATGTAATTCCTCACTTTATATCACCGCAAAATTATGGTCTTACTTTCAGCCCTCTCATGAAACAGATTAGCCTGGGGCAGGAGGTGATTTTAGGTTTTATCATGTGTTGCATGAGGCTATTGTTTCATTGTATATTTTATTTTATTCTATTATTTTGTTTTCTAGTTTAGTTTTTAGTTGAGTTGAGTTGAGTTGAGTTGAGTTGACTTGACTTGACTTGACTTTACTGAGATGTTAACTAGAGCAGTTTTAATTGCTCTTTAGAGTAAAGATGGAACAATCCATACTGTTTTGTATGCCATCAGAGTGATCATATGAACATTGTGTTCTTTCCCTTTTTGATATTATATAGTGCTTGTGAACAACTAGAAGAAACAAACTCCCCAGTAAACCAAATAGGA